TCGAACTCGAAACTGAACGAACGGCGTTCATGCAACTCGCTCAAACAATATATATATGCAAATTTTGCTCAAAAGAATGGTCAATTGGAATGGTCACTGCAATGGTGAAACCGAGTGTTTCTGACCGATGGTTTCTGACGGTGGCGATCCAAGGGAGGCAGGTCCCCGGGTCCTCCCCGGGTCCGTCTGAAGGGAGTTTGCTGTTGGAATGGGGTAACCCGGCAAGAGATGCACTCAGAACTACATGGAACTGCAATGTCTATACCTGGATCTTCGAAACGGCACAAATAATTGCCCTTTCAGGAAAAAATGCTGTTACGGCGTCTTTTTCCAAAGACGGCGTTTTTGTTGTGACGAGGCGCACGCCGGCAGAAAGCAAAAAGAAACGGCGTCTTTAAGCGTCCAAACGGCGTCTTTGGGCGTCCAAACGGCGTCGTTCCCCGTCCATGGATTTTGTACAACCCATAAAAAGGCATTTTTTTTGATTACGGCGTCTTTTCACTAAAAAGAGCCTCCGGCAAAAATTTGTGCCGTTTGAAGATCCAGGTATATATATATATATACATAATATATATATATATGTGTGGATGAACACTAAGTAACTAAGCCCGGTCAGCCCATCCTGTTGGGATTCAAGACACCACATCGCCCACCAACTGCACGGCTGCGTGATTCACAAACCCCCCGATTGGGATTGAAACACATTCTTCATATGGGTTGTTTATTAATCAAGAGTCAAGAGTCTACAGTCTATATTATTGTGGCCATGAGCTTGTGACCCTGCCGTATCCGGTCCGGTCACTGTCAAAGTCTTGCAGAATCAAAAGGAACCCAATGGACATGACCAGCCTTCCTCCTCATCCTCTTTCTTCCACAAACTTTACAACCCCCAAAAACATCCAAAAACTATACAAACTTTGTCAACCGAAAGACACATGGCACCTGAAAGACTGTGTTCCTCTTTCAGGGTCCATGTTAGTCTTCAGGGTCGCTTTCACATCATGTTGCTCCCAGTCTCTGCAGGCCAAGTGGCCGCCCCCGGGTGGCGCTCTCCGTCCCGGTCGCGCTATCCGTCCCGCATGGCGCGTGAATCTCGCGAAACGCGAGGGCTGCTGCAGCAAAGATCCGAGGGGGAGGACATGGCAGAAGGTTAGACACTCTTTTTGGATGAATCATGGGTGAGTGAAGACATGGACAAATCATGGACCAAGACAAGACATCGAGTGGGATCATAACACATGCGAAATTGAATACATGCGAATTGATCCAAACAGGTGATTACGTCAAGGAGTGTAGAATAGACGAAACAGAATCAAAGTGTCTAACAAACGATGGTGGACAGTCTGTGAACCAGAGCCCAGTCCCGTCCACGGTCCGGCCCTGTCGGCCCGAACAACGGCTCGGCGCCTCGCTGGTCCCAGCCACGTCCTGGACGCCAGACACGGAGCGTCCAGAACTTCGACACGGAGGGGACGTGCGACCGAAGAAGAGACCGATGGGGGGACCGTGCAACCGTGTCTGGCGTTTTCTTTTTATTTTTTTTGGTGACATACGCTGAGGTTTCGGCTGAAAGGGGTGGACATGATTGCGACCCAACTTGAGGCCAGAGGGGGTGAACGAAAGCTAGCCGGGCTTCTGGTGGTCTGCTGCTGGTGCTGCTGCTGGTGCTGCTGCTGCTGCTGGTGCTGCTGCTGCGCTGGGTGCTCTGCAGGCGCCGGGTCATCTGCTGCTGCTGCTGCTGGCGCTGGGTGGTCTGCCGCGGCTGCTGCTGCCGCGGCGTTGGGTATGCTGCTGCCGCTGCTGCGCTGGGCGCTGCAGATGCTTGGTGTGCTGCAGCTGCTTGGTGGTCCCGCTCACCGCGCGCAGGGGGGAGTCGAACCGCGGGGGGGGGGGGGTCCATAAGATTGATTTAATCAATTATTTGAGGTTTCTGAGGTGCGTCCACCCCGTCACTTAACTTGCTAAAGCAAGAGCAACTCCAGCTAGCTAAGGCTAGCTTTCGTGACAAATCCTAGAGAACAGTACTAGACTGTAAGTTCTGTGATCAGAATTAAACATGCAAAGACTGCAAGACTGACCTGACCTGTCTCTTTCAGCAGAATGTTAGTGGCTTCCCTTTTCGTTCTCTCCAAGTCATCAGGATATCAGGATGAGATCTTAGTCCTATTCACCATCTGATAGGATCCTGGTGAGTTCCTTCTCAGATTTCTGGGATTCTCAGAGTCAGAAAACACCAATCTCTTGGGTTTCACAACTCTGGGATTTCGTCTTTTTTCACCCACCTCTCGGCGTTCAGACCACCCAATCTTCACCCAGAACGGGGCCTTGTCCGCTTCGTCCACCTCCTCGCGGTCCGGGTCCTGAGCGACATGACGGACGGGACGGACGTGACGGTGCGCACTAAGCGGTGTTTTTAGATGCGGGAGCCGCTCTGAAACCACGTGGATTGTGCCATCTACTCTGAAACCACTCTCTAGATGATGGGAGATCCTTCATACTGGATTTGAAAAAAAGAGGATGTGATGTTACAATGTCACTAGAATCATCATGGATCTAGATTCTAGCTAGATTAAATCATTCTAAATCCATGTCGCTACAGTTTGGGGATTAATGAACATGGATCACAGGTTCATTGAGACACGGGAAGTCATCCTAATACCTTCAAGTGCTGAGCACTTGCCCCTCACAACACTGCCTCCAATGGGTTTAGTAGAGCAGTTCCCCAAAGTTCTCCCCAGTTCTGGGCAGCTATTGATCCACTTCTCAGGACAATTACACTGCGATCGATGCCGAAATCGTGTGGTTTTCTCCTCTGTCCAACAGGAACGACTAGAAAATGGGCCTGGAAAGAAGCTACTTTCCTGTCACACGGCAAAGTGTTCCACTCCCCTGAGTTGTTGGATCAAGGATCTTTTAAGAAAATGCTCTGTTCTGGGGCCGCCAACACATGCGCAGGTTGCACTGCAAGGTCAGTTGTCGAAACTAGTGGGTGCTCATATGTTGATCAAACCCCGATCATACGTCCTCGGCCTTCTCATCTTCAGGCTCACTCTCTTCTGCTGCAACCTACGAGGCTTGGAGGTTGACCCTTACACACCTGGTATTGTTTTGGTGACTGATGTAGTTGATTTTTAAACGACAAGGTACAAACGAACATCGACACCTGCCCCCACAAAAATGTTAAGATCCGACTCACCACGAGTCGATGGCGGCCATCGATGTCGACTCCAATGGCTTCTTTGATCGATGCGAAACAGTTCAGCAAACGGAGCGAGTTTTCAAATCACAGCGTACCATGGAAACACGTGCCACCTATTCAGAAATTCGTGTTGGCCAGTGTTTTGACGGTAAAACGATAAAATGTACATATTTTTAAATGATTTTAAATGTACTATAGATCTCCTTTGCACGAAGCAAACACTGCAAACCCTGCCAGCACATATATAGCAAACAAACGAAGGGTGCCAGCTACGATCCTTTGTTTGGACGAAACGATGCAAGCTGCCGCCAAAATGACTTGCCTGCACTTATGATCCGCCGAATGAAAACCAGGCCGAAGACCCTTCACTAATTCCGTCTACAATATAGACCCCCAGCCAGGAAGTGACTTAGACATGTTCGATCACACGTCTTTCAAACAGGTACAAAATGGTTAAATGGGAGACCACTAAGCAGCACAATATTATGCATACTGTACAGTCTATTGTATATGTGGAACGCATACATGATTTGTTTCCAATCCCAGACTCTTATGCACCTCCTCTTTCTCACCCTCTGCACCATCCTCCTTTTCGGACTCTTCATTCTCGTGTGGTCGAGCCTCCACAAGTTTGTCTTGCGTATCAAAACATGACGATATTAAAAAATTGTGTCCTTTCATCACGTTTCCTGATGTTCTTCAAACAAATTGAAATTGAAGAACGCAGTGCAACACAGAAGGGCGCAGTGTTGCACTCATCAACACCGTCCACCTGTCATGTGTCCGTTGCACCTTAGAAACACAAATTGTTCAAATGCTTATATATAGTTGCTATGGCCTCCTCTGTCAGAGCGGAAGGAGAGCTCTTGGCCTGTCAGAAAGAACACAGGTGAATCACGGCATAACGGCATAACCCCAAAGATACTTTGGTAGAACAATCGCTCATTCACTGCAAGTTGCACATGTAAAAGCATCCACTAAATGTCAACACAAAATCCAGGAAACCTCCATCAATTTGGCCAAACGAGTTTCTGAAATACCAGCCGCCAGTCAAACACGTTCTTGCCAATTTTCAATATTTTGGTCAGCAGCCCCTCAACCGTCTCCCGAAACGACCTGTGTTCGCTCTCGTTCCCAAAAGACGTGTTCGATCTGGCTCCATGGTCGCTCCCAATAAGGGTCGTTCCTTCCCTGTCCTTCCTTGGCCTTCCTTGGCCTCCTGTTCCTTCCTTCCTTCTTCATCTTCAACCCTCATAGGGCGATAAAAGACACCAGACGGTCCGTCCTCATTCGTTCAACCTCTTCCGTGTTCCTTCCTCGATTCCTTTCGTTTCCGTTCAGCATCTTTCAGCTCCGCCCATCCCAAACAGCTTCGCTTTCACCGCCCGTCGAAGGCTTCATCCGATGCTCTTCCCGATGCTCTTCCCAAACAGCTTCTGATGGATGCACCTTCCTCAGCTTCTTTCCCTCGGCTCGGCTCACTCCTCATTGATTTCTCGGGTTGTCCGCAATTCCTTCCTGACGCACTTCTTTGCTCTCATAGCATCCCCAGCCGTTCTCCGATTTGAAACAAGATTAAAGTCCTAAGCAGCTATATAAGCATGAAGTGTTGTACCACTGCAACATCTAGAATGCACAAAGGGCCGTCAGCTGTGCTGCGGAAGTCAGACCCTGCCCCACGTCGTGCGAATCAGGACGGAACGCAACATCTGCTGGGTCTGCTGGGGTCGGTCGCCACGTCTCCGACGGGTGGGACGAGCCGCACTTCAGCCGGCACCGCCTGGAGACCGGAGATGATCTCCCAGGTCAAGCCACCATGCTGAGCAGCTCAGCATGACTTGAAATCGGATTCACAGTCAATTGTACAGTGCACAGTGACAATTGTCGATCTAGTAGAATCTAGTAACTAGTAACCGTTAAGTTTTGTCACTAGTCATTTACAAGCACATCACATTGTTGACCCAAGCGTTTTGCCTTGCACCCAGCAGATTCTGCACTGCATCCAGTGCACTCACTGAACAGCTTACAGGCACAGAACAGTTCTAAGTATAGCCAGCGTCGATGGCTGCCTTCTTGAGGACATGTGACCACCATCGACTGAGGATATCTGGCGTGTCTTCGCTCTCCAAGCTGCTGTGTGTCCTGCACCTTTCTGCATCCTCGATCTCATCCGGGTCAGGACCTGAAGCTTGCCGAACCTCTTCTTCAAAGAAATCGTCCCACTCCAAGGACATGGCTGCAATCCAAGCGATGCTTGATTTTGATGGATTTCTTTCCATCTGAAATCATTGAACCTAGCAACTAGTGACTCAGTGAGTGTATGTAACTGCATCCTTGCTCTGAGCGCCTGAGTCTGCAAGTTCAGAAACCTCACACAAATCTAGCAGGCAGGCAGCCAGCTGCAGAAAAAGGTTCGAAACGCATCAGGTCCTCAGTCATACCTTTCCGAAGCAATTACAATGAACATCGTCAAGCCAAGGCTGAAGAGAAAGACACAAGAAACAAACACAACATGAAACATAAATGAACACAACATGAAACTGACCAAAGAACTGGACAAAATAGAACAAAAGAACAAACACACACACACACACATGCAACACGAAATAATGGGTGTGCCAGAATAAAGAGCAAGTGAAACACATAATGAACATAGATATATTAATTCATGCTGAAGCCACCCAAGCTGTGGCGCGTTCAGAATCTCATATTTACATTAAATAATGTCTAATTCCTAGAACCTCTGAGCTTCTGGGGGTGAATACACATCAAACCCAACCATGTCTAATTATATATATACATATTAAGCATATAATACATATATATATATACAGAAAATGAACTCACCATCATCACCCTGGTTTTTACCATCACCTTTTCAATGTATGGCCGGCTTCCATGGCACCACGCCTTAGCCGCAGCCTTGGCCTTGATCTTCTGCAACTCCTTCCGTCACACACCCAGCTTTTCAGTAAACCGACAGCTTCGCTTTTCCAACGGAAGAGAGCAAACACATGTTTCACCACCTTTGTACAAAGGTGGCGTAACTGATTACTTTCAACTCATCGTGTCAACCGCCAACCACTGATTTCTTGGAGGCCATTGCAATTAGGTTGGAGGTCATCGCGAGTAGGTTGGAGGCCATGGCTGGAGGCCATCGCTATTCATCGCTTCTAGGGTGGAGGCCACTACAATTAGGTTGGAGGCCGTCGCGGCGGTCCGGAGCCACGTCCCGTCCTGTTGACTCTCTATGCAGTCTCGGTGCCGGATCTCTCCGTCGGTCCGGATCGGGCGTCGACCGAACGGAAGAAAGCGGTGCCGTCGACCGAATGTTGGCAATCGGGGTGCCCAGAACATCCACCTCACTAACACAAAAAGCACCAACAAATCATGCACCTGTGGACAATTATCCAAACTAAGCCACCAAGCTGATGGTTTGTTTTGTTGACACCTATCCGCAACTCAGCTTGTTTTATATCATCCTCCACAGCCAGTCCCATCCCCGTTCCTCGGTTCCCCCCGATCCCCCGCGCACCGCATCCGTGAGCTCAGATATGCTGCAGGAGGCCAGGTGATCCTGTTTTGGGGCCAGCTGACCGGCGGTGGGGAAGTGTCCTGGGAAGCCTGTGGTGCCAGAGAAACCCAGAAAAGCCAACGGCAAAGCAATCCCGGCAACATCACCACTATAATACCATCTGGTACCTGCAAAAACGCATCCAGAAGCAAGGATTGGGGCCATTGGATGGAATCTCTTGATCTTTTCCGTTTTTGCAACATGGACTCACCAAATCTCAGAATGTCATATATTCGTTCATCTTCAGTGTTTCTTCGCGCCTTGGTGTCCTTTCTCATCTTCATGATGCACTTCCCAGGCCTAGCTGTTGAACTCCGGCCGATCAGGACTTAGCACCACTTGACTGAGGTGGGTCACTCACCTGTGGCAGGGTGCTCCAAACAAGCAACTACAACCTCCTGACGCGCAGCAAAGCCGCGAGTCCTGGCTTGCAGCCGATCGAGTGCCGTCGTGACCTCCCGTGAGTACCGAGTACCTCGTTGCCTTGGAACGGTCGAGACTCTTCCGGTCGCCATCCACCGCAGTTCACCGCGGTTCGAACGGTGAGCAGTACATGCCGGACCGTGGTGACCCCCCCGGAAGCAGTGGCAAAAGTTTGGTGCCTCTGTGGCACAAGAGTGCGGTTCACAAATGTAGTATACAAATGATATACAATCCCGATTGCCCCTGTATCCGACCTGGTCCTTTGGTCAACCAACGCAGCGAAACACTCCAGTTGTTTCAGGTCTCTCCTTTCGGGTCAGATCGTCTGGGCGCGCCGACGTCAGACGCGCACGCAAATATGGAGGGGACTCGATTGGCCCACCGCCCATGTTGGAAGATGAACGAAGAGGACATTCCGCAAACCACGTGGACCCCCCCCAAACCCCTCAAGGTCCATGTGTGTGTGCGCGTTTTCGGCAAGGGCAATCCCTTGGCCCCCCAAAAGGTAGGCCCCAACACCATCCAACACCTAGTTGTGGGCACCTGGTTTAGAGCCACTTGTGGGGTTGTTCATGGGGGCAAGGGATCGCAAACCGACCCTGCCATTGTCCAGGAATCTGCAAAACTGCACCAAGTAGTGATCACGCTCCCAATCAAACAGCAACACCCTAGCTACTGTAGGTTCCTACGTCAACAGATTCTCTTGCAGAATCCTGGAATACACTTTGGACAATGGAGGTTGATAAAGTTGTCAATAGGGTTACGTTCCTAGTGATTTCATCAACCTCCAGGCAGCCTACTCGCTGCAAGGCTACTCCTGAGGCCATGAAAATGGCAGCTACGCAGCTACGCTCATCAAACGGTGCCTCAGCACTCAGGGGGGAGATGAAATAGGAGTGCTTACTTCTTCCTCGAAGCTCATTAGTGCACTTAGGTTGGAGGCCATTGCTATTAGGTTGGAGGCCATCGCTAATTAGTAGGTTGAAGGCCATCGCTAATAGGTTGGAGGCCATCGCTATGCCGCTATGCCTTGAAGCTCATTTCCGCAAGGTTTACGGGCCAATTGGGGCAGTCTTTCGAGGTCCCAAGTGTTTGTCAACAGCAGTATTCACCGAGCACTACCAAACACTACTAAGGGAGTCCCCAATTCTTCCTCGATCAAACTCTGGGAATTAGCAAGGCTAAGTTGTCAGTTGGAATGCAAAAACAGTTGGATAACTCCGCATATCCTCATCACCAATGCACATTCTGGTCAAGTCCAATATGTTCTAATTAATCCGCTTTGCAGAGATGGGTGGCCTGGGTTTGCCCCAGGATGTATGCCTCTCATCATCTCTGATCAGTCCATTTCACTAGCATATATAATATAGAATATATGTTTCCGGATCACGTCAAGAGGAGGTCTCGCGGAAGGGACCAACCTTGAAGGGAGGTCTCGGTGACACGAAAAGGACTGTCCTTTACTTCGGTGCCAAGGACGACGTCTTTGGACTTCATGGGGTCTCAGCCCGGCGCGCAGGGGGCCCTACCACTCAAATGGAACCGACCCCCGCCCTTCCGGCAGATTCCAAGGAACGTCTCATGGCCTGCAAATCACTTGCCTGCTTCTCCTCAAATGGCAACGAAGATGAGACCAATTGCGTAACTAAGGCAGTGAAGCGGTGTTGACTCCACTCAATTTGAGACAGGGGCCCCACGTACGTGAAGCGCTTACTAAGGCAGTGAAGAGCGCCCCGAAAACGGTCCATGGTGTTCAAGCCTGAGGACTGAACAAATGAGGTATATAAAGGAGAACATGGCGGAAAGCCACATCGAGAGTTCAGAAAAAAATGCACACCCGCTCGATGATCTCCTCCAAAAGGACATCGAGGTTTGCTTGTGCCACCAAGGTGTCCGGATGTTCTTCACCCAAGATCTCACGAAAGCCTTCCGCATTCTCAGGACCGGTTAGCGGCAACGAGGAGTAGATGGCAAGGTGGGCGGCAACTTTGGAGCGAGCAAACGAGTGGATTGAGAGCACGACACGGCACTGTTGGGCCCGTTCGTGTGGAGATGGACCCGATGGAACCCCCAGACATCTTGGAGTTTGTGCCATCCACTCTGAACAACGTTGGGTCCTTTTGACCCTGCTTGTCCAATATTTCACCTTTGGTTGGTTGGTTGGTGGCCAACCAACCTGTTGGAAAAGCTCTATGTCACATGCGGTGTTGATGACAGAATGGAGCTTGTTTGAATAAAGAACGATAAAACTAGCAAAGAATAAGAATAAAAGAAGAGGCTTCCAAAGATTTCCATTCTGTTCTCACAGCTTTCCTTCATGCCCTAGCACAAGTTGTTTGTCTGAGCATAGCATTATGGGTCAATCTGTCTCAGTCATTGAACCTGCCATTGCGTACAAAACATGTTGCAGCAACGCTGCAAAACAAAAGACAATCAAATACAAATAAACTAACAGCTATAACTATTATGTACAATATTTGACAATTGTAATTCATTAATCCCATGGGATTCAAGTATATAAGGTTACTGGACCTGGAAATCGTGGCTCTTCTTTCGTGGCAACCGGCATTCACTGACATCGCTGCGGGGATCTCCAGCAGTCCTTGAGTGGCCTCAACACTCCTCACGTTCGAACCTTGTATGGCTTCAGTGACCTTGGTCCCCATGGCCTCCACTGATGTTTACTCTTGATCAATAAAATTCGATAAAACTCCCATCTGGAGATATAACACATAGTAAAACGCTTATTCTAACAGAGGGGGTTCATTTACCAACAGTCAACCACTTCTCCCAAGCCTCACTCCAATATACTCCAACGATTTAACGATGTCAAATTCCGCCTCCCCCTCCCTTTGCGCTGCATGCCACTCCACGTCCCCCAGACTTCCGCCCGTCCGATGTCCGGTGTCCACAGCCTTCCACGGCCTCACGGAGGATGGGCTCCGCCTCGTCGTAGCGCTGAAGTGCCATTAAGGTCACAGCCAGGTTGTCCTGAGGCATCGCACATACTCGGAGGGCCATTGCTATCTGGGTGGGGCCATTGCTAGGTTGGAGGCCATCACAATTATTAATTACTATATAGAAACAAAGGAACAAAAACAAGGAAGAAAGAGTTTTTTTTGCAAGGTTGTCCTGAGGCGTCACACATGTTTGGACGGCATCACCAGGAGATGTCCTGGGCCTCGGAACCCTCCCGTGACCCGGCCGGTGACCATGCATGACTTGACTGTAGCCCATGGGCTTGGGCACTCATGTGCATGAAAACTACTGAATTGCTGTCTCCACATCATACTGAATTCCAAAGAAACCAGCCAATCACCGCAACCATGTTCCACCCAGCCCAGCCGGGCCCCATGCCGGTCAGCGGCATCTGTTCGTCGTCCTCACCCGATCGGGAGCACCTGACCCTCAGCCCGTCCTCGCTACGCAGGTGCTCCGGATCCAAGCGCCCCAGCTGCCGCAGGAAGCCCTGCTGCGCTCGGCGGAAGTAGGGCTCGGCCTCCTCTGCGCGACCTGGAGGAAGCGGCGCAGAACAAAACGACGCGTAGCGCGACCTAGAGTCGTTTTCTGTTGGAGAGAGCTTGGTAGAGAACGAAGCTGTTTGGAATGGGAATGGTGGAACAAGGCAACACGTGGTTCCCAGATGATGTAGGAGGATGAGCTCAGGTACTGAGCAAGACCGCCGGGCACCTAGACAACATTGACATAGCCAAGAAAAATGAATCTGCGACACCCAACCAAGAGTCCTTGCACAGCACCTGCATCATGCTTTACTGGAGTTGAGTCTCCGAGGTATCATCAACTCCGGCTGAGTGGGGGTTGGTTTTTGTTTGGATCAAGTCTAAAGTTAAAGAGTTCAGACCGGCGGTTCCAGGGCCATGAACAAGAAAACTGATCACAATTGCCAGCCATACCCCCTGTACTACTTCTGCAGCGGGACATGCAAAGACAGAATAAAATACATCGCGCTACTCCGATTCCCCTACAAAGTGACAAGGTAATAGTTATAAATGTTAAAAGTACGTAAGTTGATGCTTCCCATCTACACCAGTTCCCTTGGTCACCTGCAAGGCCCAGCCTTCCCGGAAGAGGAGCAATCCCAAGTTATCCGCACTGTACAGCGTGTCCTGTCGCGCATCTGCCCACATGTCCCATCGTCACGTCCAGATGCATGTCCACATGATTGCGTACTTACTTACAGCAAAACGGAAAAAATCGATGACGACTGTTGGATGACGATCCAAGTGTCGATCCACTGCAGCTAACTACAGCAAGTGCCACAATGGAACTCACCATGCAACTTAGACTGAAGAATATGTCACATATATATGTCCATATACCCGCTACTCGCTATATTGCCAACCTTTAAGGGACCCTAACCTCCAAGTCACAAAGAAGCAAGTCACCGTGGTCACCCAACCAGCATGGACCGACCAACCCAACCAGCACACCGCCGCTACGCGTGTCCAAATCATCTTCTCCGAGAGTTTTGCGGCAGCCCTCCAAGGCCTGCAACGGGGACGACGTTGGACGACCCGTCCGTTTCGAGTCTAGCGGAAGACCTCCCAGTGACGCGCCAAGCGGGGATCTGAATGAAAAGGTATTAATAATATACTTGTGGAAGGGGTAGTTTTGGCGAATGGCTCGCGAACTGTTAGAATCACTGAAATACACAACGTCCTTATAGTGTGGATTGAAACAGCGTCCTGGACGCATTCACCAACCGACATCGCATCCTGATGTACATCCTCTTTCGCCTGACATCGACCTGGAATCGGTTCAGTCGGTGGTGCACGCAGGGTGCGGTGCCATGACCCAAAGACCTGACGTTGCTCCGTGAAGGGTGTGCATCCCTCAGTGAGCGCTCCGTGCGCCCC